AAAACATTGGTTGATAACGTAAATAGTCCGGACAACATTGGATGATAATGAAAAAAGTCCGGACAACATTGGTCGATAATGTAAATAGTCCGGACAACATTGGTTGATAATAAAATTAGTCCGGACAACATTGGTTGATAATGTAAATGGTCCGGACAACATTGGTTGATAACGTAAATAGTCTGGACAAGATTGGTTGATAATGTAAATAGTCCGGACAACATTGGTCGATAATGTAAATAGTCCGGACAACATTGGTTGATAATGAAAATAGTCCGAACAACATTGGCTGATAATGTAAATATTTCGGACAACATTGGTTGATAATTATTTCAACTGAAAATAAACCAAATGACTGGAAAACTTAGTTAATATATTTAGATTTATTATACGTAATTCTTGATTCAAATTTTAATCAATAAAACATTTTAAATTTAGTTAAATTTTGTGTTTGTATACTTTATAAATAGTGTTACATTGCGGTCATAGCTGTATTTGGGGTTTAAGATATTCTTTCGTTGAACAAAGCAGTTTAATGACTGTCATTGTAACAGACAAATCTTTCTGAAGGTAAATTGTGCCATCTCTAACTGCAGATATTGCATGTCTATTATTGGATCCCTAAGGTAGTACATTCCAACTGAAGAATCTGTCATGCTTACTTATCAAAATTTTTTTTAAAATTAGAAACGAACTTTACATTACTGTTGCATACTTCATATTTTAAAGATGAATGTAGTATTACAATGTTTTCAAAGTTGCAATTTGATTGGTGAAAAGAAAGGTTAACAGAACATTACTTCTTATCAACGCCCACCAGGTCCCTTATGCCTTTATGATAACCAGATCTTAATAAAACTATTATTATAAAGGTAAGAAATGATCACAGGAAAGCAATTATTGTAATATTCAATACTTCAAAGTATTGTAACACGATATATATGAAAAAGTTGAACCGATACTTTAGTCAAATTGTACTAAATTGTTATTAAAAGGTTTAAAGGTGTAGAAAATTAAGATTTATGGTTTCCATTCGACCGAAAGTAAAAAATAAAAAGATTTTTCTTTACAGCCTATTGGAATATGTTTTCAAAAGATTTTAATAATTAGACCTTAACCATGTCAAAGGAAAGAAATAACAGAACTGCAATCTCAAGATTCAAACATTTTCTTAACAATATACATTAGTTTTGAAAATACCTTGCTTCACAAAGGAAAAATTGTCATTGCGTAATAATATTGACATCTACCATCGGTACTCGTTTATATGTTGGATCCAACTGCACATGCATAAACATAGATCTGCCGTCGCATAATGTGCCGGAAGATCTGGGTATATACAGTCTGTTTAGATTAGTCAGTTGAACAAACATTAGGGACTCTGATATACAGGTGTATTATGGGAAGCATATCAAGGTGTATGTTGCTTTCAGTTGGACTCGACCTATAAGCGAGTATATATGTTAATCAAAGATGAAAAGACGTGTTTGGTGATTCTCTGATTTCTAACAATGTACGTAACATGGCTTACTATAGGGCGAAAATGGTTCATATTGTCAACGACAATTACAGTATCGCTGGTAATTTATATTTTGACACAATTTTACCACATGTAATCCTACTACATATATAAACAATACTGACCAATGAAATCGTTGCTTGAGATATATTGTCATTCACTGCAAATAGGGACGATTGGTTTCTTTGCTAGTTTAACACGTGAATATTCGCAGTATACTTAAGATTGTTTGTCATGTTTCTATATCGCGCTATACTCTGTAAGTAGTAGTGGAGATTGTGACGTTGGTTCTCTGAAAACCAGTTGCTTGCAAAAGCCGTTGCTATTAACATATGTATATCATGTTCGTACTCCGTACCGCACCTAGCATATTTGTCATAACAGCGTCTTACTGCACAGAATATCATCTCTCGATCTATAAATGATGGCTTCCTGAGCAAATTTTTGGCAATCAGTAAGGACAAATTAGCAATGCTTTGTGGTGTGTGTCCGTATTTGTATTCAGGGTCGTAGTCACAACTAGAGTCTGGAAGTTCGTTCCTTGCCTTTAGCAGCTCGTCTCTTGCCTTTCTACACTCTCTTTCCAAGACTCGATTCTTAGACTCTGCTATTTGTAAATCCCTTTTCAATGTTTTCAACTCAAACTCTAGAGAGGATAGCTTTGACAGTAGTTCCTTGACATCAGCCGACGTCATGGAAGTCGTAAAACGAAGATTAGTCAATCTTTCTGATGCGATGATGTAATCTTCCTCCTTCACTGAGGCTGCAATTCCTTCACATGCCATTTGATGTGATGCGAGTTCAAATCTGTTGACATCGGTACCGCATCCAGCGCACTCAACGGAAATGTAGCCACATGTCTCCAGATGGTAATTAACTCGATCTAATTTAATAATAACTTTACATCCCCTCTTACTGTTCGGACATCCGACCTCAAATCCGTTGATCAGATTCCTTAAAGAAAGCACCGGCTTCACAGTGGTCAAGGTCACATTGGCTCGGCACTCTGGACATGTGACTGTGGACGGTCGTGATAGCCATGTTTCAATACACGCATAACAAAAGCTGTGTCCACACGGGGTCAGCACGGCGTCCTCGAGAACCGCGTTACAAATACCACACAGTAAATTGGGGTCAATTGACCCGATGAACCAATGTACCTCATACCCCATTATTATCAAAAGGCAAAGAGACTTCCCTTGGATGGCACTTAACTAGCCAATAATATGATCTGCAAACAATTCCCGGACGCCTTCTATGTAATTATAGTGTTTTATGAACGCTGGAAATGATACCACTATCATATACCAATGTACCGTCCTTGGCTCATATACAAAATATATGATATAAATACTCTACAGGTCGATGTGTATTTACAAAGAGAAACTTGTGTACAGTTAGTTACAATTTCGAACGGCGCCGTCAATGACAGATTGACAGTGACACTTTCCTTTTAGTTGATGTCCTCGTACAAAAAAAAAATCCCACAACAAATAAACCGCACCTCTTCGCTACCATTGATGTGTAAGATGTCTTGAACAGTTTCTATCCACGGTATCGTAGGTTGATTTAACAAAACATGAATTTTTTTCTGATCATAACAATTGTACACCTTAAATCAATCACAGGTCTCTTTAGTGAGGTTATTGTAAACCCATACAAATTGCTGGAGTTCAGTGCACTGTTATAAATAATCGCCAAATTATATAGCAAGTTTCAAAGCATTAACTTCGCCACGCTTCATCCCGGTTTACCTCAGCGTCCATACAAATCCCTAAATGAAAAGCGTATCTATACATTCAGTTGGTGAAATTTGATGGTCTTGTTAGACAGTACAGAACACAGCGGCGGAATATACAAACTTGTTGATAATAATACAGTCTAATAATCACACTCTGATTGCAACTCTTAACTCCAGTCTCCAGGACTCGGTAGAGAATTATATAGTTCTTGAGACCACTGTAACACCCTTCTTCAAAAATGCGCGATCAGCATCCAGATTTCACATGTATACACTCTTTCCAGGATGAGGATAGTACATGATTGGATGTTTCATCTGCCTCACACTCCGCCACATGCCTACAATACATGGCACGTTACAATAACCTGACATATGTACTGCCTGATTGGTCTATAAATACTATCCGTGTATTCCAGGTAAATCAATACACGTGTGTTGAGTCTCTCTCTCTCTCTCTCTCTCTCTCTCTCTCTCTCTCTCTCTCTCTCTCTCTCTCTCTCTCTCTCTCTCTCTCTCTCTCTCTCTCTCTCTCTTTCTCTCTCTCTCTCTCACACACACACACACACACACACACACATGTTAATGAAAATACAATATAAATACTGTGAAGAATATAGATGTCAGGTAAATAGAGTATCTTTACCGCTGTACAGCAAAAATTAGAGGAAAATATAAAAAAGGAAAGAAGTCAGTAAATCCAAACTCTTCTTTAATTGTTGGAAATTCTCGAATGGTGCTTAATTAGTGAACACACGATCATTCGTATTTTGAATCTGTGTTTGAAGATAATTTTGTATTTTGCAATAATTCTTTCTAACACGGTCACATTGGAATCAAACAGGCCAGGCTTTCAAAGCTTCAAGTTCGTCAATTTCCTCGCATATACAAGCACCACTCCGGTGGCTTGACTGGTTAGAGCCTGCGCCTCAGATGCGGGAGGTCGAGGGTTCGAACTCCAGCCAAGTCATATAAAAAAAAACGGGTACTAGCAGCTGCATCGCTTGGCACTCAGCATTAAGAGGTTAGTGTTAGGACTGGTTGACCAGGTATTATGATAATGTGACTGGGGTTGAACATGATGCTGCATGATGCGGCACGATGTCTCATTGCCTAGACATCACTATAAACACACTGCATACATCTTAACGATATCATTGAACAAGTTTAAAAACTACGTTACAAATCACTCACACATGTACAAACACTCGAATATACAAATTATTTTAATACGCTCGCTGTAAGGCGGAGTGTATTGTGTTGAGATGTTATGTGTCGGACTGTTCCTAATTTCCATTCCGTTCCGCACAAGAACTCCAGTTATCCACTATCAACATCTACCAAACGTTAAAGATCGCTGGCACTTACGGTAAGGAAGAGACGTGTCGATTTGGAGGTCTTCGGTCAGAGTCACTGTGACTGAAAGAATACAAAGTTTCTACGCAAACGTTTCCATTTCCCTACATAACGGACTGTTAAAGTCGTAGCGGGTGTATAACCAGTAAAAATTGCCTGCAAGCAATCACCTTGCACAAGATGATACATAATCAAATTTGTGTAGTATATCTGCCAAGATTTCTTGTTTGTTTTTTTTTTCTTTTTACTGGGGAAGGATGAAGGTTGTGTGGTTGGTTGCTTTGTTTAAACGGCACCTTTTTACACATTATTGACTATATCATGCGGAGGAAATAGGAATTAAGTGCATTCCCTTCCCTAAGGACACATCGAACACACGAACCGGGTTTGCCTGGGCGAGTATCTAACTCGTGACCTTTGGATTACGAGCCCGACATTCTACCAACTGCTCTACCACGGCTCCTCAGCCAAGAGTTAAATGACTGTTTTTATATTATGCTATATATTTTATATTCTGCTAAATATTGTACGATCATTTCAGCTAAGAACAGTAGTAAGTGAGAAACAAAAAAGAAATGAAATTGTAGGTAGATTTTTTTTGTCTGTGGTCGATAGATTCCGCTTTTAATCTATCTTATTCTATTTCATTCTAAAACTTGAATTGTGTTTATAGAATGCGGATGATCACGCCTATACAGTGCATTGAAAAATATCTTAGTTTAAATTGTAACTTCATATTTCTCGATGAAACAAAGTAATAAATCTAGCAAATGTCTTTTTGTAATTTTGTTTTTGTCGTTTTTTTTTAAAACACATTCTATTCCCAAGATCACAAGATCACAGGGAAAAATATTAGAAACGAGGTTTTCAACTTACAAGTTTCTCTCCATTATAAACACAAAAAAATAATTTAACGAGCAGAGTTGTGAAGTCAAAGTTAACCAAATTCTTGGCGATTGAAAGGTAAATAGTAGTTGGTTTAAATCCGTGAAGTCCATCAAAAAGTACTATATGTCAATTTAATTTGTAATGCAAGGCCAAACTTCCCAGTCAGACAGAACTCGGTTAATTAGTTATGGAAATAAATGAAAATCAAACATGACTTTGATTTGTCATAATATTAACTTCCTATAGCAAATATTTTGCGTGATCCAAAGGCAAACTTTTAAGTCTAACAAGTTCCACAACTCAGTCAAATTTTGACGTGAACTGATCAAAAATCAAGTATATTCTGTTTCTTAGTATGAAACATCGTGCTAAACTTGGTTTCAATTCAAACGGCTCGTTCAAAGTTACTGAGCGGAAAGATCATTCATGATGCAAGGTTAAACAGTTAAGTCAAACAAGGGCAATAATCCTGTCAAATTGTGACATGAATATATCCAATTCGAACGTTACCTACATTTCCCCCATTTTCCAATACAAAGTCTTTTACTAAATTTGTTTTTTCATCCATACAGGCCATCATATGCCATTTAGTGAAACTAATTTCATAATATATCGGCTACTTTAAGTTTTACAAGGGCCGTAACTCAAATTTTGACAAAAAGTTAGTGAAAATAGAACTTGACCTACATCTACCACATCTAAGAAAGCAAATATAAAATTTTGTTTGCTTCTAATTTGGTTCGAAACGTTATTAAGCGGAAGCGAAATTTGTTACGTGATGGAACGTGATTTGACAAGTAAATCCAAAAAAGGCGTTTGAATGGCTTTTAATACCAGTTCACATCCATTCATATTAAGTACATTTTAGTTATAAAAAGATCTAAGGGTTTAAATTGGTTCTTTATATTAAGGTATCTCATTCTTACATGACCTTGTGCAATGAACATATTATACTGGTTACTAATTTTGACACTCTTCGCACTAGAATATGATTATTGGCTTTAATTTATATGCTTTTCTTGTAGACAAAGGTGAAAAGGCAATGAACATGTAAATTATCTCACGAGGTCATCGAGTGTCAAAATCGACACAGTTACAGTAGATTCACCAAGTTTATGTCATGATAGGCAATAGCCATGGAATGGTATATGCAATTATTCAGAGTTCGTTTTATTTATTACACTGGTTCAGTTTAAGCACACATAGCAAACAAGTTTATAAGAAATCATTCTTTAATTTCTTAATTTGTACTTCACAGAAGATTAGCAATTTTCTCTTAAGAGTGCACTGCATTTATGACCTGCACTTCCGGTAACACCATGTAAACGCTGTCATGGCTGTTGAACTCGAACCCGATTGTGGTGTGTGTGCGTGCGCGAGCGCGCGCGATAGAGAGAGGTTTTAAGAAGTTTGGAGGTCCTAGGCATTTATCGAAGATTAGTATTTTTATATCAAATTTTGTAGGCCGGTTTTTCTTTTTAAAGTTGAACTTTTTTAAGTGAATGCCGTTTGTTGGTAACACAAGTTTCGGGGTCTTGTACCAACATTTCCCCCCACACAACTCATGTGCAGATCAGATTTAAAATAAAATAGAATCTCTTGATGGGAGTATGTGAAAAATGGAGTTATTTGTTTATTTGTTTGCTTCTTTGCTTCTTTTATTCTTCTTTAGCACATTGATGCAAAAATAAATGGACGTGTAAAACACGTAGTCAATAGGAAGATGGGACCACATTCAGCATATTCACATGCCCAGCTCCGACCCACGTCACTCCGTTTGTAAAATCAAACAGCTCCGACCCACGTCACTCCGTTTGTAAAATCAAAAGTCATTCCATGTAAATTTACTGTTTCGGTCACAATGCCCAAGTCATTTATTTCCATAGCGGTTACGTGTATTATTAGTGCAAAATTTTCATCAATAACTAGGCAGCTCATTTATGCGGATTTATGCCAGTTTTTTAACGATACATTCCTTCGTCCTTGGTTTAGAGATATCTGTAACTCTGAGGGATGAGAGTGAAACAAGATAAACAGACAGTAAAGTTATGTTTTGTTCTATTAATGAGTGTATACATTAAATTCTGAAATCATAAACACTGCCATGAAACTAACAGGGTGAGATCAATATTGTCTTCTTCGCCATGGCAAGATACAAAAGTTTCAACTAATCTCATGGTAATTAGTCAAATAAAAATCTACAGATATATCCTGTATAATCCCTGATACCTGTTATCCTTACTTGACCCAAATTGTATATATGTATTGAAGAAAGCGACTGAATAACCGTTCCATGGAATTTGATTATGTTAAAAATTCCTAAAGAACGCTAACAGACGAAAAGCCCCGACAAAAATCGAACAAACTTTAGAAGTTAATGCTAGAGTTAAATAGATATAAATTGTCGGGTAACTTTATATATATATATATATATATATATATATATATATATATATATATAGATATAGATATATAGATATATATATATATATATATATATATATATATATATATATATATATATATATATATATATAGAGAGAGAGAGAGAGAGAGAGAGAGAGAGAGAGAGAGAGAGAGAGAGAGAGAGAGAGAGAGAGACTGCTATCCTTGGGTTCCACATGAAAATGCTTTTTGACATTAAGAAAAATTTAAAATACGAATAAATAATATTAATAATTAATGTTAATTAGTTCTCTTCGGAGATTTACGTAACCCGTCCGGGTCCATGGGATATGTAAGCACCAACCTCTGTCCAATCTCGACCATACAAACATCACCAAAAATTATTTATTCAAGTCGCTATTATGGGCATTCAAGCGTAGCAGACACACCCGCATATCAACTAGCAAATATTCCCCGTAAGTAAACAGTCACTCCGAATTCTTATGACAGAAATCAAAGTATATAGATATTGTTATAGAGAATTACAAACACAAAAAATACAGAGCCGATAGTACTTTCCCTGGATCTTATAGGAGTATGCTTGATAATGTTATTTTTAAATGCCAGCAAATAATATTATAATACATGTGTGTGCTTGCGTGTCTATATGTGCGTGTGTGTAATTTGTTTTTTCTAACGTAGCTTTGACAATTTTTCAGTCATATCGCTACGATTTCAGCAGTGTTGCAATATATAGTGATGTCTAACACTGGGGTATCACACCGCAGACATGTAGCATGATATCCAACAGTCATATTATCCTGGAAGACTAGTCATACTACTAACTTCTTAATGCTGAGCGCTAAGTGAGGCAGCTGTTAGTACCAATTTAATAAGTATTTGATATGACTCAGCCGGGGTTTAATCCGCGACCTCCTACATCCGAGGCCACATGGCTACCCAAGCGGTATAATGCAGCTTACGACACTCGTTGCTTTCCAAGCGCGCATCTGTCCCTTTTATTGATAATTTGGCCAACATGCGGTGTGTCATCTACACATGAATAACAACCCTGTACTAAATTCAAAACATTTTTCCCCCCAAAATTTTAAGATTCCCATGTTTTTAATTGTTTAGTATAACGCCACTCAACAACTGTGGACAACGTCTTGCTGTGAGTAATTTTCAAGACAAAGCAGGTTCAAATGATCACAAAGGTAAAATTGCGCTCCGATAGTGTTGCATCGGATCGATAGATCATTCTCACATAGGACAAATGCAAATTCAACGCCTTGTGAAGGTCTTTATGATTTTTCCCAATAATTACTTATCACATCTACTTTGATAATTTAGCTGTTTTTATCGATGCTTGCAAGACAAAACAAAAAGCATGTCTTGATGTACAAGAAGTACAGAGTCGGAGTGATAAGATTCATTTATCACTGTGTATGAAAATTAATAGCAACCGCGCAAAAAATAAATGGTAGAAGGAATGAGAAAACATTCCTTCTACAGTTACTTCGTACGGCGGTCCAATCCCAAATCCTAAGATTTTGTTGAACAACATAATTAATGTATTATGTATGACGCGATGAAGTCAAGACTGAGAAATGAAGGTACCAGAGTGACTCAAACTTTTTGTGTCGATCGATTAACCTGATGTTGCTTTGTAACAAGGTTTATCACCAGAGATAAATCCGTTGTAAAGAACAACATGAAACTCTTTACTCATTTTTGCTAATTTGTCTAGCTTTAGATAAATAATTTTCTTATATTGACTACTTTGGCAGTAATGCTATATTTTCTTGTACGTATTGATTCGTGTACTTTAACCTTTTTTGAAGTCTCTCGTTTTCGTTAGCTTCTTAACTTTTTAGGCGGGTTAAACTTTCAGCGGATTTTTTTTAAGCGATGCATAGATTAAACAAACATAATGTTCAGCTTGTTGTTTGTTTTGCTCTAACTGATCATCGAGCTTGTTTGTCTCATAGTATACAATTTTGATTATAAAGACAGGCTTGATATCCAATGAAAGATTTAATTGTTTCATGGTATAATTTAACAAAAAATGCATATCAAATATAGGACCATGTTTAATAATGTATTTCGCTATCCTATGACCAGTTTTTCTATCATCAAAATCAGTCTTAAACGAGGACAGCTGTTATCGGAATCCTACACACTCTCC